AAGGGAAATTTTCCTAGGCACTTAAAAATAGAGCAGGAACAGGATCATGAAAATAGGGACCCATCCTATGTGCCCCCACTCACAGCTGTTAAGGAACTGCAGGAAGTACCTCAAAAGGGAGTTGAAAAACATGGGTACCCTTAAAAACCCCTTCTGGTTTTGCTGGAGGCGCAGGCAGTGTCCAAAGGTGGGTAGCACTCAGAAATGCCAGTGCAACATTTAATCACCTTGCAAAGAGGGAGATCTACAGACCACACTTTTTGGGTGAACTAACCTTTGTGGTTTATTTCCTGTTTGTTGGTATGTTCCAGCTGACAGCGAGGGAACTGAGAGCTATCGAATGTTCTCAATGTAATCTATATGCATTGTCTGCCTGCCCTATTAGCATTTGACCATGGTAACTAACAAGGTAATAGACCAAGCAAGACTATTTTCTGACAGCTGTGAGTGTGTATCTGTGCAACTCGAACAGGCCAATAAATACAAAGAATTACCAAGACACATGTGCACATGGTTGCCTCCCCACAAAACAAGGGTAGGGAGCTACTGACAGTTACTCTGAAGTGCCGCCTGGGCTTTGGCGGAGCAGCTGTCTCTGGCGGAGGCACCGAATTCTGGCAAAGGCAAACAAAATCAGGCATGAAAGGGGGTTGTAGCAAGAAACAATGGGGAGGTGAGAAGATGAGTTGTGCTGTGAGGGTATCTCAGATACCAGCTGGAGGGCCAGGGGAAGGAGATAACCCAAAGCAACGCTGATGGTCTGTTAGGCACGCAGGACTACTTACGCTCTGTAGCTTGTTCACAGAGTGAGTTGCTGTGTTTTGCAAATTTTCACAGCAGCAGAATAAGAGTAGAAACAAAACATGTTTTAAAACAAGCCAAAACAATATGAAGATTCATCATGGCCTGGCAAACCATCAACAGCCAGGAAAATAACATTAGAAAAAGATATTTTAGACCTGGAACTCACAGAGTTCAGAGGCTTTTGTGCATCAAAGGTGAGGGGGCACTAGACTGTGCCTAAATTAATATACTGAGACAAATCCATTATCCAATTCAAGCCTATTTGGATGGGCTCAAATTTTGTGATAAGCTCTGATTTATCCTTTCTAGATTGGAACCACACCTGCAAATCTCTTTGTAGGAGAACACAATTTTCAGTGACAAAACAGGTATTACTTTAAATCTACCTTTAGCAGCTACAAGGCTCCCATTGTTACTCTAGAGTAGGTTCAGGGCCCTGATTCAGATTGCAACCCTAACGCCTAGTCTAGAGCAGCAGTTTTCAACCTTTTTACAGTTGCAGACCAGAAAAAATTATTTTGGGGACTGCTGAGGCAGAAATAAAAAGCATTATATACATAACATAGTGTTTTGTTATTAGTTATAAATATAGTGCCAAAAGTGAAAATTTTCTAAAATGGCCAGGAACTGAGCAGTAAAAATGCTAATAAAAGAATCAAATATTGAAATTAAATGCAATCGAATACAACTGAAATTTTTAGAGAGCAATATGTAATTCAAATAAGGCTACTATGGAATCTGCTGTTGCTTATTTCTAGAATACTTGATAAAAAATTTACATTAGCAAAATACAAAATCAATATAAATGCAATACTGTGCTCATAGCAAATTCAGATCCAAATACAATATCAACAGCAGAGCTATACAAAATCAAAGTTACTTAATACAATAATATTCATAATATGAAATAATGAAAGAGAACAAACCCCACCCCCTCAAGCCCCCATACACACAAGCATAGCCCGGCCGATAAAATGCTCTCAGCACAATCCCATCTCTGCCTTTCCCTTCCCAGCAGTAAACTCAGCAGAGAAAGGGAAAGGGCCAGTCTTTGGGTCTCTGCCCCGAGGGTGGACCAGGCAGGTGTGGCTCCTGGCTGGGCTGCCTCTCCCCTTCCCAACCTCCTTGGCTGGGGAAGAGGCGGGGAATCGGCAGCCGAGAGCACAAGAGGCCCCGTGCTAGTCCTGGCAAGTTGTGTTCAATTACACTTAATTTCAATATTTTATTCCTTTATTAGCAGTTTTACTGCTCAGTTTCTGGTTATTTTAGAAAATTTTCATTTCTGGTACTATATTTAAAAACTAAAAAATTTCACGGACCACCAGGAAATTCCAGCGGACTGGTGCCGGTCCGTGGACCAGCAGTTGAGAAACACTGCTCTAGAGCACAGATGGTGTGGGGGGTGGCGAGGTGTCATGGCTAGATCCAGATCTTAATAGCGTTTTTTAGCCCTCAGATCAGCAGTGCAGCATCCTGAGAGACCTGGAGGCTGTAAGAAGAGATCAAACGGTATGGGAGAAGAGTGCAGTACCTAAAATTTAGTTACTCTGTGTGCAGTAACTAAAACTCAAGGAGAAATAGAAGTAGAAGTAGTGGAAGGCTGTGTGTAGCCAGCCCAACATGTTAGGGTTGTAACAGCCGTGCTAACGAGGGTAGTGCTTGGAAATGCAGAGAATATAAGCTCCTGTGAAGGTGGAGCCAGGGAACATTTCGACAGTCAGAGCAGACTGCAAAAGTCTATTTTCCCTTAGCTGTGGTTCAGGATTATGTGCCAGATGCCTTTAGACCCTGTCCTGGCAGTATTCTCTCGACTAGCCCACATGCTAGTTGGAATTAATATCTCAGCCCCAAACTGTCAAGAGTTTGGCATATCTGACAAGACAGCTGAATCCCAAAGAACGAAATTAAATGCAGTAACACTGAAAGCCTCCTGCTTTCTTATTACTTCAAATGGGATGGAGCTCCCTGCCCCAAGTCATATACTGACGTGTTCCAATTTAAATTCTTTCTGGAGATTCAAAAGGTTTTTAGTAGTACATTATGCATCTTCTATCATGCCCTTTGGGGCACAGTCCTATGCCCCATCTCCTCGATGCTCGTAAGCCTGTGACCTCGGAGGCTTATGTGTCTCCTGTTCCTGGAACAAAACGTGGTAGTGGTGATACCCATCTGCTGCCGCCATGCCTTCCACGAGGGAGTGGGAAGGAAAGAGGCTGGGATGCTGGTAGAAATCAGCATTAAGTCCTTGGCCTCAGCCTCCTTTCTGCCCCAGCCCTCCCCTTTTCTGCATCTGCAGGACCAAGTTGCCACCTGGAGGTGGCAGTTGGTGTAGTTCCTTGCACAGGGGCTGCAGGTGGGCAGGTAGGGGCTTAGCCTTCAGAGTTCCAAGTCTGAGAGAGCAGGACCTCAGGTCTGGGTCTCTGAATAATTTTATGACTTCCCAGATGATTTCAGAAGGCCATAAAATTGTGGTTATTTGCATGCCCTTTATGCATCTCCCGCTGCTCCAAAAGGGCATGAATGAATAGGGATGTATATTTGCAGGAAATGTGCATATGCTAATAGTTACAGGCTCAAGTACAGGTATAGGTGGGTATGAATTTAAAAGTCATACAGTAATTGAAACGGAAATGCAGTAGAGCTGGAGGAGAGCTCTGTCAATACCCTGGACCAGGAGAAGGATGAACAAGCGAGTCCTACATCAAATCAAAGCAGGACTTTCTCTGGAAGCAAAAAGGGTGAAACAGAAGTGGTTGTGCTTTGGACACATTGGCTGTGAGAAAGCAAGGCTCAGGGGTGACGGCAATAATGCTAGAGAAAATTAAAGGCAGAAGAAGGAGAGGAAGGCCAGCTATAAGATGGATAAATTCCAGAAAGAAAGGCATAGCCTTGAGTTTACAAGAACTAAGCAGGGCCATCAAGGACAGAACATTTTGGAGGGCATTCTCTCATTGGATCACCGTAAATCAGAGATGACTCAAGGGTACATAACAGCAGTGAGTCCATCTCCTCTGGCAGGGGAGACCATAGCTTCATGGCCTGTGTGCTGGATGTTCGGTCTCCCACCCAGGTGGCAGTTTCAAGACCCCTCCTCTTCTCTGGCCTTCTCCATTAAACTGGACTTGGACTCAGATGGAGGACACCTACAAATAGAAGGTTATCCTTTGATAGACTTCAAAGAGAGGACTTTTCTCTAAAATAGCTGCAACATCATCCTGGGGGTGCCAGGTGCAAAAGAGCTGGAGTCCAGAATCTCTAACCAACATCTTACCAGAGGCATGGCAACTCCTCTGGTGCAGCCTTCCAAAGCTACTTCCCTCCAACCCCGCGTTGTCTGGGGATGATTGGAATTGTACTCCTGTGACAAAGTACATTGCACATACTGCGGTTAAGAATTTATTGTGTTTCATAGAAGTGCCATTCACAGTAATCTTTGTATTCGGAGTATACGTATCAAACGATAGCATAGGACACCTCATTCCCAGGGTTGGGAATAAGCTTGCGTTACTTTAGGGCCTGTCAGTGGTACAGGTGGTATTTCAGAGCCTGATCTAGATGACTGACATGGAATGGTGGTGGGCTGGGTTTTTGTACCATGGACCTGAGTTTCAATGCTCTATTTCAAATGTATCCATATGTCTGCATTCAATGGATCTGGAAGCACAGAAAGTGTCGAAATGAAAAGCAGGTGAAATTTGCTCCCACATGGACCGGAGGTCCTAATCCAGCCTTCCAGGGTTCTGCAGGTATCTCATTTCCTTGGTGGTTTCCAAGCTTTTGCGCATCCCCCCATGCCACCGTTCTGAAAGGTTAAGGTTCTCCTCCTAAAATACCCCTCCAACTCTCAGTAAGAGCTTAAAGCACTTTACTCTACTGGACTTTTTGGGTACTTTGGCCCTGCCCCTTTTGCCTTTGGCCCCACCCTCTGTTTATTTATTTTATTTATTTAGGAGATTTATAGGCCTTTGGCTGTGACCCCACTGGAATGCAGTCCCCAAGAACATCCCCAGCTGAGCGGCTCCTCGGGCTGGGAGAGGCTCAACACTCCCGAGTGAAAGGGTCCTGTGTGCAGAGGCCTCTGCTTCCAGCGACCGACCAGCCGCTCCCGGACGTGTGCTGTGTGAATGTGTGAGGAGACTCATGGAATTCCCTTTTCTCCCTCGCTTTCTCCTCCCTCCCTTGCTGTGGCTCTGCAGGAGCTCTTCTTGGCTCAGAAATGTTTGTCATCCTCATGCTGTACCTCTGGCTGGGAATCGGACTCGCCTGCGCCGGCTTCTGCTGCCACCAAGTGCTGCTGATCGTGCGGGGGCAAACGCGGTACCAGGTGCGGAAGGGGATGGCTGCCCAAGCCCGGCCCTGGAAGAAGAACCTCGAGGAGGTCTTTGGCAAGCGGTGGCTGCTGGGACTTCTCATTCCCGTGCTCAATGTAGGAAGTGACTATCACCGGCAGAAGTGACACCTCCTCCTGCAGACATGGGGTGTGTGCAGAGAGCCCCTGTGCACGCACACACACACGTTTGGTAATGGACTGCACCACTTGGTAGACAAAGAGGGGAGGGGAAGGACGTGGACCATGAGTTGGATAAAGCTAGGGCAGAAATCCCTGCCTTGTTCATCCCTGGCATGAATCTGAGCCTTCCCTTGGATCATTTGCTCATGATATTCGCCTCCCCCCTCCCCCGCAGCCTTCTTCCCTTCACCTCTCATGCTTAATGCACAGTAGGAACAGTGGCTGCACCCTCCGCCTTGTGGTTGTGAGCTGGAAATAAGCACAGCGTAGGCTTCCTGTGCGATTTGCCCAAATGTGCTAGCTGAAGCTTTTAGCAGTTTAGACTGGCCCCAATATAGAAAAGCTCCAGTTTCACAGGAACAGTGGTCAGTGGTCAGCGAAGTGCTTGGCCGTGCAAGGGAGGTGGACTGGGTTTGTCTGAACACTGCTGCGATGAAGCACGGGGGGTGGGGTGGGGGGAGCCGCATTCCTGTCTCCATTCCATGTTGCAGGAAGAGCAGTTCATCAACTGGCCGTGTGGCCTGTTCACTTAGGGGGCTTTTCAGCCTCTCACCCTGATCCCTGCCTCAGAGGGCTGCCTGGGGCCCTGGGACTGATGAGCAAGAGCGTCTGGGTTGAACACACTGAGGGCAAAGGGGACAAGGAGAGCTGGCAGTGGGGCAGGAATGAAAGGATCGAGGGAGGATTTCACATGTGTCGGGGGGCAACCAGGAGTGGCTCCTTTGGCAGTGGGGCTAGCAGCTTTTGTTCTGAGCTTCGTGAGAGCTATGCATGGTGTTCCATGGTAGTGGACCTGTTTGGGCATGGAGTTCATCACCTTGGATGGCTTCTTTAAAGCTCAAAACAAAACTGCAATGACTAAGTAGCCCCATTGCCATAGGAATCCAGAGACAGCAAACTGAATTATTGAGAGAGAAGGCTATAAGTAGCAGAGTGTGAGTGCAGGAGCTTGAATTAGCACTTTGCAATAAATAATTCTTCCATGAAGAAGAATTTGTACCATTCATGGGATGTAAGAGACATTTTAAGGACCAGAATCCTTCGGTCTCTCTGTCTCTTTCTCAATGCCCTCCACAAACCAAACATTATTTCCCCAAACAGCCTGCCTTATCCTGATGATGGCTTCTTAGGATTTCCCTGCCCATATAAATCTAGGGCATCCTTCCCCAGTCAGGTGCTCTTCAGATCACTTGGTCTGCAACTCCTATCATTTCCAAGCAGCATGATGAATGGCCAGGAATGATGGGAGGTCTAGTGCAAGACTTCTTGGACACCAAGGGCACCGGGATGGGGAAGGCTGCGTTAGAACTATGGTTTCATCCATATATTCATTGAACTGCCTGGAGGCAGTAAATAATGCAAGTTACCAGGGATCAATCCAGTCGGTTGGATTCTCTGACATACACCTTTGACACACATTCCATTTCCCTCCATGCCAGGACCCTCTCATGGAAGGTGCCTTATTTTAAATGAAAAGAGAACAGAAAAGAAAAACCTGCTTCCCCATTTAAGTTTAACATGTTTTCTTCTAGAGTTGATATGGGATTTTGCACAAATGCTAAATCCATTACCTTTTCAAAATTTAGAAACAGATAAATGCAGGTCTAAACACATGCACAAACACGCCAAAGGCTGAAATCCACCCACAAGTTGATGAAAACAAAACTATGAAAATGCATGCTTCCCTTTTTTGTAGAAAGATACCATTTTAAATAATTATATTCTGTCTTTCAATACCCATACTTCCAGGCAGGGCAACCAACTAACCACTGCACAAAAAATAATATTAGGCAATTTAAATAAGCAAAATGACATATAAACATAAAATTTATGAGCAGAATAATGTGACATAAAATGGAAAGGGGGCATTCATTGTTTTAAATCCCAGAGCAAATGGAAAGACCTGCTGCTGATGCCAAGTAGGTATACAAGTGGGGACCAAGTGGGTGCCACTACTGTCACTGTCCTTCTCACCTCGGGGGGCTGACACACCTAGTGGGTAGCTTCCAGGGATAACTGAAGAGCATGGCAGGTTCCAGTCCATTTGGAATTAGATAGCCAGATCCCTCTATGTGCAGAAACTGAATTCAGGGCTTCCCGTAGATGTGCCTAGATTTCATTTCAACATTCCCAATGTTGCTCTGAGAAGTTCTTATTAGTTAACCAAAGGCAAGCTCATTACTGTTCTTGAGCTGGCTGGAGGAACCGCTCTGAAGCTAGATCTTTATTCTTCCATGATGTTCATAACCCATATTTCCTGTACGTAGGTGCAACACTTGCACACTGGAAACATATTCTGAAAGGCGTTTAGAGCATGATGACCTTCTAAAGAAGAAAAATAGTAACTAGTTAGATCGATGGGAGCACACATAGAAAAACAGGCCTTCTATATAATACTTGTGCTTGCATGAGAACTTATTTGTGTACCTACCTATCTAATATGCTGCATTTTCACAAATAAAGCATAATGATTTTTTTTAAATGTTTCTCTTGTCTGTGCCATGATCTCAAAGTCCTTCATTATTAAATAGGGGAGCATGGACTGGGAATTCAGTGTCATACACAAGATTCACAAACAAGCCAGAACACACTCCAGCAGCTGAGTGTGACCTTCCTCCTTGAGGCCTTGCCCTGGGCTGTGGCTGCCTTCTGCTTCTTCTGTTCTGGGGAAGATCTTCAGCAGCAGAGGAACAGAAAGAAGAGAAACAAAACTTCCCTGGCTGATTGCTGGTCTGAGCCAGCTGTGAGTGAGAGGATCTTATTTGGAGCCACTTGATCTGGGGTGTTGTTATTATGCATTACATTTCTATACTGCCCATAGCTGAAGCTCCCTGGGCAGTGTTTCCCAGCAGTCATGACCCTGAAGGCGATAAGACCAAAGGGGATCAATTCTCTTGAGGAAGCTGCAAGGGCAAAGGCCACCCTCTTCGCATCCTGCCTTTGGGCTCTTCAGGACACTTGATGGGTGGGTGGTGATATTTCTTCCCTCCCAAGGGCCAGAATATGTGGCTCAGAGGGGGGAGGACATGGGACCAAGTGTGTGGTCCTCAGTTAGTGGAGTGATGGTTCAGAGGAGGGTGACAAGGTTGATTCAGGGATTAGAAACAAAGCCCTATGAGGAGAAATTGAAAGAACTGGGCATGTTTAGCTTTGAGAAGAGAAGACTGAGAGGAGATAGGATAGCACTCTACCAGTACTTGAAATGCTGGCACAAAGAGGCAGGACAGGAGCTCTTCTCATTTATTTATTTATTTATTTATTTGAAGCTTTTATAGACTGTCCCATTACTAGCATCTTGGGATGGTTTACAACAAGCACAGATAAAAATGGCACAGCATCCAGCAATTCATAATGAAATCGCAATTAAAACCAATTAAGCATTAAAATAATGGGAGAATAAAAAGGTTTTCACCTGGCGCCAAAAAGAAAGACGCATTGGTGCCAGGAGAACCTCTCTGGGGAGCATATTCCACAATCGTGGTGCCACCACAGAGAAGGCCCTCCTCTGGGTAGTCACCCTCCTAATCTCTTTCAAGGGGGGCTCCCGAAGAAGGACCTCCGCCTCAGATCTCAAGGGGCAGGAGGGCAGATAGGGAGTGTAGGACATGGAATAATGGGCTCAGGTTGCAGGAAGCCAGATTCCAGCTAGATATTAGGAAACATTTACTGACTGTAGAAGTGGTACAACAATGGAAGCCTAGGATGGTTGTGGGCTCTCCCACACTAGAGGCATTTAAGATGCAACTGGACAGCCATCTGAAAGGGATGGTTTAACTTGCAGTCATGCACTGACATTGGACATCGGACCTTCTGGCTTTCTGGATCCTTCCAACTTTGCTATTCGATGATTCTGCAATGGTCACTTTCCCCCTTTGCAAGCAGACCAGATTAAGATGGTCTGGCCCTGAAGCCTAATGCATCCTGATTGTTTCCAGAAGCAACTGGACAGCCACCTGAGAGGGGCGGTTTAATTCAGTGTCCTGCACTGAGCAGGTTTTGGACCCTCTGGCCTTCTGGAAACTTCTAATTCTATGATTCTATGGGGGACTTTCCAGCTGAAATGGCTGGCAGTTCTGTCAAATCCTTGATTGATTCTGGAATACAGATATGACCCAGGTGGCTGTTCTTGAGCTGCCTCTCTGTGGCAAAGTTCATAAAGCTCCATGGTAACAATACAGGAAACAATACCCAGGAAACAATACAGAAGACAGCTAGAGTGCAGGTGAAGGAGACTTCTAGTGGATGCAATCAAGTCCTGGTAAGAGCCTATAATCAGGTATATTTGGGGGTAGTTAGGGTGGCTAAGAAACAACATCTCACTGCCTCTGTCCAATTTCCTATTTGTCACCCAGGGGACCTCTTTAGGGTCACCCAGAGCCCAAGGACATCTTAGACCCACCTGAGGTCTGCTGTAATATAATTGCTAGGCACTTCCAAGATGAAATTTCTTGCATCTGCTGGGACTTGGTCTCCAGTTCTATAGCAGTTAAATCAAATGAAGTACATTTATGTCCAGTTTTATTGGATCAGTTTCAGTTGGTTCAGCATGAAAATGTCAGCAAGATACTTGGACAGGTTTGTGCAGCCATGTCCATGCTGGAGCCTTGCCTAGCAGGGAGGGAACAGCCAGCTGGGCCATGACAGGGATCAGTGAATGGGAGTGGCTCCAGGCTGCCCTAAAGAGGCTGTGGTGAGGCCCCTCCTGCAGATCTTCTCCCTGAACCTGGAATATCCGAAGAACTTTAGGCCTGTGGCAAATGAATCCTTCCTGGGCAAGGTCCTTGAATGGGTGGAGGCCAGCCAGCTCCAGGTACTTTTGGATCAGTCTGATGATCTGGATCCATTTCAGTCAGGGATCAGGCCAGGTGTAGGCGCAGAAACGGCTTTGGTTGCCCTGGATGATGGGCAATGCCAGGAGAGAGATGGTGGGAGCGTGACCCTGTTGC